CATGGGGATGGGAACGGCTGCCCTGAGCTGGGCTGTGGGGTCAGGCTGGCCGGACAGTGGGAGAGCTCCGGCCAAGCCTCATCCCTCATTCCCAGGGTCAGGAATGTGCAAGAGCTGCTGCAGGGGGATGACCACAGAAGCCACGTGGACAGAGGGAATGTGGGGAGGCTCTGCAAGGATCTCTGCACGCCAGGAGACCCAGGAGGAGCAGGGAGGACGCGGGGATCCGTGCGGATCCAGCACACGCCCCAGCTCCAACGGGGCTGAGCCCACAAATCCTTCTGCAAGTTTCTCTGTCCCACCTCCAGATGTGCCAGCGCCCCGTCCTACACCCTGCGCCCCTCCCAGGCACACCCTGCACCCTCTGGGCTCTCCTGGCACCGCGTCCCAGACACGTCTGTGAGGGGCTGGGCTGTGCTGGAGCTGATGTCCCCCCATGCCAGCACCCAATTCTCCATCCCAGCCCCATCCCAGTCCCCAGTGCTGGCCCAGCCCAGCCCCAGCTGGGACAGAACCTCCACCCAGGCACAATGCTGTGACTAAAGCAGGCTGACACCCCGAGAATGCAGCTCTGACAGCAAGGTCCCACCGAGGCAAAAACAATCCAAACCCTCCCAGTTCCCTGCTCGCTCTCAGGGCTTCGTCATCGGCGCTGATAGAGATCCACAGCTCGCAGCACAAACAGGGAGGCGGCCAAGGAACCCGCAGGAGCAGCAACTGAGACTCGTGGAGCCCTGGCCAGGGCCAGAGGCAGCTGCAGATGCTGCTCCAGGGACTCCTGAGCTGTGATTTGACACGAGCCCTGATCAGATGTGGCGTCACCGGGATGGTTCACGCAGGAGGGACGAGGCCAGCGCACAAACCACAGCTCAGCCCTGCCTGCAGCACCTCCTGCTCTGCCAGAGGAGCCCAGGCATTGAGTGTGCTCTGCCTTCAACCAGCCTGGGCTCCACCATCGCCTCTCCCTGCCAGGCAGGGCCCCCCTCCTGCAGCTTTTTCAGCCTTTCTCAAGTGGGGAGTGCAGCGCTGACACTGCACTAAGAACATCAAAGTCGCCGCTCCTCACTCCCACCCGATGTCCCATTTCCTCACTCCCACCTGGTGCTTTCTGGCACCACCCAAAAGCACAGACTCAGCAGAAGTTCAGTCCTGCAGGGATTCTGGAGGTGTCCCAGGTGCCCTGTGTTCCTGCAGGAGCTTTGTGTCCCTACTGGAGCTCAGTGTCCCTAAGGTGCTCCATGTCCCTGCAGGTGCCCCGTGTCCCTGCATAACCCCAGCTCTGAGGAACCAGCCTGGTTTAAGATCTGACCCTCCATGCCACAACTCCAAGGAACCAGCCTGGTTTAGGATCTCACCCTCCATGCCATAACCCCAGCTCTGAGGAACCAGCCTGGTTTAGGAGCTGACCCTGGATGTTGTAACCCCATCTCCAAGGAACCATCCAGGTTTAGGATCTCACCCTCCATGCCACAACTCCAAGGAACCAGCCTGGTTTAGGATCTCACCCTCCATGCCATAACCTCACCTCCCTCCCTCTCCTCCCCCTCGGCCCCAGGCCCTTTGCTCACACGGTTCCTGCAATTCCTGGCCCTCGGCGGCTTCGAGGCTTCCGCCACCATCTGGGCTCCATTTAGGGGAGCTGATGTTTTTCACAGGGCTGTAATCTAAACTTTGGGATTGAGTTTATATCTCACATACCAGCGTCTCACCGCCGGGCCTGGCGGCTGCCAGCCCTGTGCCAGCGGCCCCGGGCACCTGGGAACGGTGCAGGGATCCCAAACCAGGGATCCCAAACCCACAAACCAGCAGGGATCCAGCCGGGCACTGCCCCTGCCAGTGGGTGAGAGCTGTGGGAGCCCAAGGAGCTGGGAACGAGCTCAGCTTGCCCCGGGAGGCTGCAACAGAGACAAAGCCCCACAGCAGTGTCATCCATTGATGGGAGACAATGCCCCACATCATCCAAAGCCCCACAGCAGTGTAATCCAAAGCCCCACATCAGTGGGGGACAAAGACCCACATCAGTGTCACCCAAAGCCCCACATCAGCAGGAGACAAAGTCCCAAATCAGTGTCATCCAAATCCCCACATAAGGGTCATCCAAATCCCCACATAAGGGTCATCCAAAGCCCCACATCAGTGTCATCCAAAGCCCCACATCAGTGTTATCCAAAGCCCCACATCAATGTTATCCAAAACCCCACAGGAGCATCATCCAAAGCCCCACGTCAGCATCATCCATCCCAGCAGCAGCAAATTCCCCAGCCCGGGCAGGCCTGAGATAGAAGCACAGGAATGAGAAGCAATTTGGGAGCAGGGATGCAGAGCAGCAGGTCCAGCCCTGCTCGTGCTCCAAGCCCAGGGTGACAGACCCACCTCAGGGCCTGGCGAGGCTCCTGACCCAGCCCTCAGGTGACAACTGGCACCCCCAAATCCCTGCCAGAGCCCCCCATGCCCTCCCCAGCCTTCCTCCACCCTCCTCGCTGGCTGCAAGGTGGGCAGAGCCGCAGGCAGCGTCCAGAGGCAGCCAAGGTGGCTCGATCCCAGCCATCCGCGAGGCTCAGCCAAACCCAAAAAATAATGTTTTCATACTTTGACTTTTCAGGCAGGATTTAGTCATTTGTGGACACGAGGCCTTGGCAGGGCCGCGCTGCCTCTGCTCACCTACCCCAGCCCGCGGCTGTTTACGGCGGCAGAGCCTCGGAAGGAGAGGGAAAATTGGTGTTTAATCCAGGTGAATTATTCCTGCTCGCTTCATGGAGCCTGCAGCTGCTGGGGAAGGGGGCATTCAGCATCCCTGCACAGCCAGGGATGGGTTTACCACAGGAGATGAGGCATCACAACACAGCCCACCCCACAGCTCCACAACACTGCCTGGAGACAAACCCAGCAGGACTTTTGCCCACCTAATGGCTAAAAAATGAGTTAAGGGCAGAGGAGCCAAGCCCTGGCTGGGCACACTGGTGGTAAAAGGCAGAGAGCTGCTCTGCCATAGGAGAAAAGCAGGTTCCACCCCAGGCTCTGTTTGCTCAGCCCGGCACGGGGCACTCTGGGCTGCCAGGGGTGATGGATCCAGGAGATCCAGGCCCTGCTGGCTGCCAGGGCATCCCTCAGGAACCCTCCGTGCCCAGGCTCCAACACGAGCTCCTCACCCTGGTGTCAGATCCAAAGTCCCCAGGCACGAGCCCAGGGCTTTATCTGCCTTTGTCCCCTCCCTCCTCCCACGTTTGTTATTAAAAATTCGTTACTTGTTAATAAACTACAGCCACTTATCTGCAAATCCTGCCTCTGGGACCAGCAAAGCCACACCACGGAGTGCCACGCTGTGTCCCACAGCCCGGGGGATGCCAGGAGCTCATCCCCACACACCCTGTCTGCCTTCAAAGCTCATCCACCACGAGGATCCCACCAGGATGAGGATCCCACCACGATCAGGGTCTCACCACGACCAGGATCCCACCAGGATGAGAATCCCACAATGAAGATCCCACCACAGTGAAGATCCCACCATGACATGGATCCCACCACCACAAGGATCCCACCAGGATGCGGATCCCATCACAGTGTGGATCCCACCATCATGAAGATCCCACCACAACCAAGATCCCACCATCACAACGATCCCACCACAACATGGATCCCACCACAACCAAGATCCCACCATCACAAGGATCCCACCACCACGAGGATCCCACCACGACAGTTCTGCATTTTCACCCAGCAAACAAACCACCCAAAGCATCCACGAGGCTGAAACAGCCAAGTGGAGCAAGTCCTCCTGGAAAAGGAGCCATTCTAGAGTGGAGCTTCCCAGCCAAGCACGGGATGGAGCTCAGAGACAGGAGGGATTGCAGCCCTGGGATCAGCAGCACAAACCCATGCGGTTGGCCAGTGGCAGGAGGAGCTTTCTGAGGAGCCTCCGTGCCCTCCAGGCACTGCAGCAGGAGCTGCACAGCTGTCCCGACTGGGAAGGACAGATAAGGCTGAAATGATTCATTCAGTGCAAACCTTTATTTGCTCTTGCTTACCCAGAGGAGCCAGCAGCTGCTAACGCCAAACTGGGCCGGCTCCCAAGCGCAGACAAAGGCCTGCAAAAATGGCTTTAAGGAGGAACTGACTGCTCAAAAAAGCAATCCTAGAAGAGGGAGTTAGAAACAGGGAGCGCAGCGCGGCGCAGGAGGAAGAGGAAGCCAGAGAGCACCTAAAAATAAATGTTAAAAAAAGCAGCGAGGCGCAGGACAAAGGCCCGGGGCGCACGTGACCGCTCCCCGCAGCGCAGGCAGGATGCGAGCTCGGAACACAACACTCCCTCCCCAGCAACCCCACGTACAGAGCCCCGAGCACCTCCCAGCCCGGCCAAAGCCACCACGGCACCTTTCCCACCCTCAAAGGGCTTTTTTCCCTGTGCCATGAATCCCCCAGGGGCAGGATGCTGGCTGTGCCCCAAGCTGGGCATGACCCGGTCCAGGGGTGGAAATGCATCAAACGCAGAAGAGTTTGAAAGTGTTAAAGGAATTGAAAGGAAGTCTGGAAAATGAGGTTCCTCCCAAGGAGCACGCTCAAAACCAGCTAAAGTCCTGTGGAAGCACCAGCCCTGCATCCCGTCAGGCAGTGCCTTCACCAGATCTGAGCAGAGCTGGTGGGACACTCTCCGAAACAGCCAGAAAATGCAGCTGACAGAGGAGCCAGAAAATGCAGCTAACAGGAGTCTGTCCTGTGCCTGCTGCTGCAGCTGGGACCGATGCTGTGGCTCCCTTCCCATGGCTCCAAGGCTGCAGAATGACTTGAGATGGGGCATCAACCCCCAGTGCCCTGAGCTGGCCCCACTGGTGCCCACCAGACACTGGCAGCATCTCCACCCCAGGCCCAGGAACAAGCCCAGCCTTGTTCTCCGTCCCTGAGCATCCCTCAGGATGCTCCCTTCACAGTTTCCCCCAGCCCCACCAGGGCTCGCGGCCGTGCAGGGAAGGAACAAACACCCAGGGACGGGGAGAGGCACTCACAGGACGGGCTGAACATCACCAGCGCGGTGCAGATCTCCAAGCCTGAGAACATCCAGCGAGTTCCGCTGCCGGGAAGCCGCAGCTCCGCATCCCACGTTCACTTCTGCTTCATCCCTGCCGCCCAGCCCATCCTCGGCAGCGGGGACAGCGTCTGAGCCGTGCCGAGCTGGGTCAGACACGGCCGGGGCGGCGGAGGAGCCTCTCAGAACTGACTCATCCCGTCCCAGAGCGGCTCCTCAGTGCATCCCCAGCCAGCCGGGGTCCCTCAGAGCTGCCCAGCCGGGCCGTGCCCACGCCGTCCCCTCAAAGCCACCCCGGGACAGGGGCAGGATCCCTGCATGGCACTGCCTGCCGCTCCTCACGCCGCGCTCCCTGAGCTCATGACTGAGCAACGCCGGCGAGCCAAGAATAGAGAGCTTGAAGTGAAACCTCCCGGGATTGGCAGCTATTTCGGGCGGCTCGGCCGCCGGGGCTGCGTGACATAAGAGGATATAAAAGAGGAAACTCTGCACAACAACTCTCACCTCGCCGAGACAGAGCGAGACAGAGCCGGGTCGCGGCAGGTAGGGCTGATGGGAGCGCCCTTGGGGCGAAGCCATCACTGTGACAGCCCCCAGCCCCAAGGGGCAGCACTGGGACCCCTTTGGGCTGTCCCCAACCCCGAAGCCCCCCGAGCATCCCCAGGGCTGAGCCCGGAGGGAAGTGCAGAGCTGCAGCCCAGCGTGGCCGCGGCTTCTCCGCACTGGGATGAGGCCAAACCCCAGCACAAACCACCCCGAGCCCAGGCTGCTGCCACAGGTTCAGCCTGCCCAGGCACCTCCGTGGAGCAGGAATTGCAGAGGTGCTGCTGTGGCCAAAGGTGCTCAAAGGGACCTGACAGGACTGAGGCACTCCGAGCACCCCCAAAGCCCAGATTCCAAAGCCCAAAGCCCAGATCCCAAAGCCCAAAGCCAAAAGCCCAGATCCCAAAGCCCAAATCCCAAAGGCAAAAGCCCAGATCCCAAAGCCCAAATCTCAAAGCCCAAAGCCCAAATCCTAAATCCCAAATCCCAAAGCCCAGCACTGCCCAAGCAGCCCCTCAAGCTCCTGGCTCAGCTCACCCCTGGAAGGAAAGGCTGGGATTGCACCCTGCCACCAGATGTGGGGTGGAAAGATCTGGTCCTGGTTAACAACCAGCATCAAGATTAATGCAGGGGAATTTCAATGGCAATTCTGGGAGATCTCTGCACTCTTAGATACCGGGAAAACAAACACACAGGCTGCAGTTTGTGGAGATCAAACTCAGCACCTGAAATCAGTCCCTGCCAGTTCGCAGCGTGTCCATCCCTCGTGATGCCCCTGTGCTCTGCCAGCTCACTCACATCCCAGAAATGTGCTTTTTCCTGGGCTTTTGTCAGGAGTAAGTCACCAGCACAGAGTCTACAGTGCTAATTAGGAAGAAATTCCTCCCTGGGAGGGTGGGCAGGCCCTGGCACAGGGTGCCCAGAGAAGCTGGGGTTGCCCCTGGATCCCTGGCAGTGCCCAAGGCCAGGTTGGACATTGGGGTTTGGAGCACCCTGGGACAGCCTAAGGTGTCCCTGCCATGGCAGGGGTGGCACTGGATGAGCTTTAAGGCACTTCCCAACCCAAACCACCCCACAATTCTACGAAATAACTGAATTCCCCAAACAGTCTGCTCTAAAAACACCCTCCAAAACTCACCCAGGGCATGAGGGGGAACAGGGCACCTCTGACTCCATCCCTCACCCCGACAGCGACAGCCAATTCAGGCCTTCCAGTTAAACCCAGCTCCCAAAGGCTGAATGACCACCACGAGCCACAGACCTGCTGAAGGTGCAGCTCCATTGTCCCAGCACTGCTGTCCCCGTGGCAGCAGGTGACAGGGCCCTGACAAAGCCAGGGACTGTCCCTTGGCACGGGGACCCTGCACTCTGTGCCCATCCTGGGAGATGGAAATGCCATTTTGTCCCTCTGATGTGAGAAACAAAACATGGATTGGTTCTATATTGCACACAGAACTGAAATATTAGTTCTATATTGTTGTATAAAGACATGGAAGCCAACAGTATAAAGTGTCATTGCTAACGTCTTTTAAAATTGACTTTTCTAATCTCTTAACTACATTAGCAACATAAGCAGAACCTGGGATTAAATTAAGAGGTTGTGGAAAGAGCTGAAAAGCCTGAGCTACAGCAGCAAGCTCAACAATTTGAGGAAATTCTTCTATTATTTGAACATTAACATTAGTTTTTTTGGTTCAACCAAGTTACGACTGATGTGTGACTTTTGCCAGAGCAAAAGCGAAGACAGTTATTGTGTTTAAAGGGTCTTCACTTAACTCAGGTTTCTCTCTAAAACTCAATTTTGATTGCAATAATTTGTGAGTTGGGTAATGAACAGAACAAACACCTGGGAAGTCAAACAGCGCATACTGCAAATCGTCAGAATTTTGTATTGCACCCCCAGGCTACAAATGAAAGTTATCGTCAGTGCATCGAGCCCTGGGCAAACCTGGGGAATTTACATGAGCCTTGAAGTTCAGGAAAGCATAAAGGAGGGAAGAAATTGAGAGAGCAATCCTGGCTTTGTCTCCAGCGTTGTGAGGAAGTTCTCTACCTTTTCTGTGCTGCCCAAGGCTCCCCTTACGCAAGAGCAGCTGATGAAAAAGCAGCCTCAGCATCAGCAGCTTTCCCCTCCCTCTGTGAGAGATCCTCCCTCTGTAAAAGATCCTCCTCCCATGAGATCCTCCTGTAAGAGGATTCTCCTTCTGTAAGAGATCTTCCTCCCATGAGAGATCCTCCTCCCACAAGAGATCCTCCTTCTGTAAGAGATCCTCCTTCCATGGAAGATTCTCCTTCCCTGGGAGATCCTCCCTCTGTAAGAGATTCTCCTTCCACAAGAGATCCTCCCTCTGCAAGAGATCCTCCTTCCATGGGAGATCCTCCTTCCAGGGAGATCCTCCCTCTGTAAGAGATTCTCCTTCCATGAGAGATCCTCCCTCTGTAAGAGATTCTCCTTCCATGAGAGATCCTCCTTCCATGAGAGATCCTCCCTCTGTAAGAGATTCTCCTTCCATGAGAGATCCTCCTTCCATGGGAGATCCTCCCTTTGGTAAGAGATTCTCCTGTCATGGGAGATCTTCCTTCCATGAGAGATCCTCCTTTTACAAGAGATCTTCCTTCTGTGGGAGACCTTCCCTCCATGGGAAATCCTCCTTCCACAGGAGATCCTCCTCCCATGGGAGATCGCCCCTCCATGAGAGATCCTCTTTCCATGGCAGATCCTCCTCCCATGAGAGATCCTCCCTCTGTAAGAGATTCTCCTTCCACAAGAGATCCTCCCTCTGCAAGAGATCCTCCTTCCATGGGAGATCCTCCTTCCAGGGAGATCCTCCCTCTGTAAGAGATTCTCCTTCCATGAGAGATCCTCCATCTATGGGAGATCATCCCTCCATGAGAGATCCTCCTTCCACGAGAGATCCTCCCCCTGTAAGAGATCCTCCTCCCATGGCAGATCCTCCTTCTGGAAGAGATTCTCCTCCCATGAGAGATCCTCCCTCCCTGAAGGCTCAAGAGCATCCCCAGAGAGCCGAACCCAGCACCACATCCCGACCCCTTCCTGCAGCACCAGGGAGCTGCTTCTCCCAGGAGAACTGCCCTGAGCTCCAGGGCACTTCCAGGGCTGCAGGACGCTCCAGAGGCTCCTTGGACACGCTGTGATCTTTCAGAGCACCACATGGACCCAGGTGAAACAGGGGAGGACCCAGGGAAACACTGGGAGGATGCCCTGGACCAGCACCACTGCCAGGTTCACCCTACACACCTTAAAATTCAATCCATGAGGAGAAACGAGGCTCTCCTGGTGATCAGTGTGAGCCACCCCCAGTTCCTGCACCTCTGTCCTTTGGTGCCACCCTCCAGCACGGGGCAGAGCATGCCCAGCTCAGCTCGGTTTGTTTGGCCCTGCTGGGAGCCGTGTTTTGATCCAGCTCAGCAATGCAGCCCTGTGGGAGAGCCAATTCTCCCTCTGGCGCCGTTCCTGCTCCTGGACACCAACAGCTCACGGGACAAAACCCGATGGATCCGGGTGTCACGGGGGTTTGTCATTGTGCTGAGGGGCAGGGCAGCCCAGCAAAACCCCACAAACTCCATCCTAATTCTCCTTCCAGCAGCCACACACCACACCTGGACTTGAGACTGAAGTTTTAGGTAGAGGAAAGCAAAAAAGGTGTGCTGGATGTGTGCAGGGATCACAAACCAACCCAAAGCTGGGCTGGATGTGTGCAGGGGTAACAAACAAACCCAAATGAGGGCTGGATGTGTGCAGGGATCACAAACAAAGCCAAAGCTGGGCTGGATGTGTGCAGGGATCACAAACCAACCCAAAGGAGCGCTGGATGTGTGCAGGGATCACAAACCAACCCAAAGGAGCGCTGGATGTGTGCAGGGATCACAAACCAACCCAAAGCTGGGCTGGATGTGTGCAGGGATCACAAACAAAGCCAAAGCTGGGCTGGATGTGTGCAGGGATCACAAACCAACCCAAAGGAGCGCTGGATGTGTGCAGGGATCACAAACCAACCCAAAGCTGGGCTGGATGTGTGCAGGGATCACAAACAAAGCCAAAGCTGGGCTGGATGTGTGCAGGGATCGCAAACAAACCCAAAGGAGCGCTGGATGTGTGCAGGGATCACAAACTAAACTAAAGCTGGGCTGGATGTGTGCAGGGATCACAAACCAACCCAAAGCTGGGCTGGATGTGTGCAGGGGTAACAAACAAACCCAAATGAGGGCTGGATGTGTGCAGGGATCACAAACAAACCCAAAGCTGGGCTGGATGTGTGCAGGGGTAACAAACAAACCCAAAGGAGCGCTGGATGTGTGCAGGGATCACAAACTAAACTAAAGCTGGTCTGGATGTGTGCAGGGGTAACAAACAAACCCAAAGCTGGGCTGGATGTGTGCAGGGATCACAAACTAAACTAAAGCTGGGCTGGATGTGTGCAGGGGTCAGATGTGAGGCCACTGCCCCACTCCAGCCCCTCTGTGGGGCCGGGACCTCCATGCAGACCCACCCTTGGGGTGTCCCCTCCCTGCTGGGGCCTCCCTGGGTGACAGCGTGGCGCTGACTCAAGGCTCTTTCCTCAGCATCCTCGGATGTTGCCCAAGAGGCACCAGCACGGTGACAGTGACACAGGGACAGTGACAGTGACAGGGATGGTGACAGGGACATGTGGCACAGGGACAGTGACACAGGGACAGTGACAGGGATGGTGACAGGGACAGTGACACAGGGACACAGAGACAGTGACAGGGACATGTGGCACAGGGACAGTGACACAGGGACAGTGACAGTG